TAAGGTATATTCCTTCATTAAGGGATTTGGAGTCTCTAGGAAATCACCAGAGGCAGGTTCTCGGGCCGTGAAGCTACTCTCATCGCTGGCTTTCCTGACACACTTCTGCGTCATTTGCTCGACGGCCCGTGTTTTAGGACCCCTGCTGTAGTTTCAAACCTAACCCCTCGACTCTCACCCGTGAGCCCTGCGTAAACCGTAAACCCTCTGCATATGGGAGTTTCCGAAAAATAGGGTGCCCTGATATAGTACCCCTAAATAGTAGGATCCTTATTGTAAGGACCCCCAAATAAGGTACCCCTAATTTTCGGAAACTCCCTAAACCCTAAACCCTATAGATCCCTTATAAGAGCCCTTAAAGGATCCCTTTAAAGGAACCCTAAGGTTCCCATATTCCTGTGCTGAGGGATTACAGAGTCTCCGGGGGAACCCGAACTCTGCGGTTTAGGGTTTTAGGGTTTTGGGTTTTTGGGTTTTGGGTTTAGGGTTTAGGGTTTAGGGTTTAGGGTTTAGGGTTTAGGGTTTTTGGGTTTAGGGTTTAGGGTTTTTGGGTTCAGGGTTTAGGGGGTTTAGGGTTTAGGGTTTAGGGTTGCGCAGCCCTTACTTGAAGGCTCATGGGACTTAGTAAGTAGGGTTATAAGTAGCTTATAATTAGGGTAACCCCACTTAGGGGACTTATAACCCCATTTATAACCTACTTACTAAGTCCCATGATCCTCTAAGTATGAAACTCTTATAATCCGCTTGTTACTGCAACCTAGGGGGGCTAAACACCCGGCCCAAAGGAAGCCCTAGGCCCCAAACGTGTGTTCCCCCCGCTGCCCCGTCGTCATCTCTGGGCATTCCGGTCGTCTCTCCTCGAGCTTGATCGCATCGGCTTGATTCTGCGCAAGTTCCTCAAGGTGTGCGGAAGGTCTAGGCCCTTGTGGTTTCTCTCGGGACGATTCTCCGCAAGGACGAGGTTTGGGGGGCGAGGTCTCTTCTGCCGGTACTTTCCGCTGGCATTCCTGTACGCTCCAATATGAGCGGGTCCAACAAGCAGTCCGCAGGGGGAGCGATCGACCTCAGCGTGGCTGCCAAGCGAGTCCCGGACAGTGACCTTGATGAGGACATCGAATTGACGTCTCCAAAGCGGAAGGGAAGTGAACCGACACCCGACAAAGTCAGAGATCCGAAACGCAGGGAGGGAGAGAGGAAGCAAACATGCACCATTGACATGGAAATGATGCAGCAGTTGCTTGACCAGCAGAGAAATGACATCTTGCGTGCTAACCGTGAGCACCTTGATACGATGTTGCAGGCCTTTGACCAGAAGAATGAAGCCAGATTTCTCTCCAATGAGGCAGCAACTCAGGGATTGGGGGATCGGGTCCAACAATTGGAGGAGAAGATCGATTCTTTGCAGAAGTCCATCCAGGAGCGACCCTCAGGAGGGGCACAGAGCGATGCCATTGACAGGAAGTTCACTCTCTTGTTTGGTGGATGGAGCAGGGACACACGCAAGAAGCTCATTCTTGACCAGCTTGATGAAGGCTTGAAAGCACTTAGAGTTCAAGATCAACTGGACTCATCTCCGTTTTGTACAGGTCCGAGGAGAAGTACAGCACTTTGTGTCTTTCGTCGTCGTCCGGGGGAGAATGACAGGGAGGTCAAGCAGCGCATGTTGATGGTGATCCGAGCAGTGTCTGAGAGGCAGCTCCTTGTGGAAGGCGGGAAGAAAATGTTCGCTACCTTTTCCAAATCCCCAGCTGAGCGTGAGATTGCGGGGCACACGTCTTGGATCAAACGAGTGGTTGCAGGCTATGACCAACGCTTCTTGGAATCCTTCGATGGGGAGTACACTACGGGATCCTCGTGGGTTGGAGAGGCTCTGGTTGCATCGGCCACGCGACCCGTTCCTCCAGGGTGTGACATGCGTCAGCTCCTGGTGATGGAGGACAAGACGCATAAGCCATGGGTTGACATGGCAGCGCTTGCCAAGGAGCTTGGTCTCAGTGTGAAGCAGGTACAAGAAGGGTTAGACGAGGAGCGCCGCTGAGACGTGTCAGGGCAGACTGAGGCTGAACCAACACCTGCTCCTCTTAAGCTTAAAGTTTACTCGTGGAATGTAGGGGGAGCTGTGATCTCTGACCTTCCTAGGGCAGTCAGGGAAGTCACCGGTGCATGTTTTGACGATGATATGATTTGTCTTCAAGAAGTTGCTCGAGGACCTGAAGGGTGGCAGCAGCACACTGCGGATGGATGGTATGTCGTGTCTCACCGAAACCCTGAGAATTGGCGAAGGACTGGGGTTATGCTGAGAGCATCAAAATGGGCGATTATGAGACGGAGAACTACTCAGAAAGGGTGCTGGTTTCGACTGCGTCATGTTCTCACAGGGGCCCAGCTTTGGATTGGATCGGTTCATTTCACGCCATGGGCTACTCAAGTGAAGTTTGCGAGTGAGGTCTCCAATCATCTTGAGGGTCTGCCTGCTACAACACTACCCGTGCTCCAGGGGTCTGACCTGAATGCTAAGGTCAATTGGGGTGAGGAAGATGGGCTTGTGCATGCTGTTGGCAAAGAAGGCAAGTTCCTGGAGTACACCAATCAGTGTGCCCGGAGAAGATTGCACGTTTGCCCACCTAGTGCAGCGCAACTCAGGGTTCCTACCAGTAGACCACGGCAAGATGGGAGGGAAGGTCACCAGATCGATGCAATTACGGTCGGTCACCAAGTCCAGGGCAACATCCAAATCCATGTCGACTCCTACATGGTGTTGGGAACTGATCATGAACTCATCTCCCTATCTACGGAAATTGCAATTGGACATGAGCGGCCTAGGATCCGTTCTGAGCCTCGAATTTGGATCGGAGGCCCGAATCTCATTGACCACATGGACCAAGAATACCTGGTTGAGCTAGGCCGTACGTGCACCAAGCCAAAACCGAGCCAAGGTTACAGGGATCCGGACAATGTCAGACAGGCGTGTAAGCGCGCGAGACTTCTCAAGACCAGGGAAGCTTGGACGACTGCCAGGAACCTCCGCAAAGCTGCCAGGAAAGACTGGGAGAATGCAAGAATCAGGCGCGCCACTGAGGGGGATTTTCAGGAGCTTCGCAAGCTTAAGCCTGTGACGAACTCAGGGTGGGACTCCGTCTTTGCAGAGGCCCAAAAGGGGGAAGATCCACACATGGTCATTCATACTCATCTACAAGGGATCTACCAGTGTGACACTCGGGTTCTAAGGTTGAAGCGTGGCAAGGTGAAGTATGGGCGTTTACTGAGGAAGAACTGGACAATGCTGTCGGGAAGGGCAAGAAGAACAAGGCCACAGGGATTGACGGTACAAGTCATGAACTCATAGTGGGGATTTGTCAGACACCTGGCGGCAAGACCCACCTCCTTGAGATGTTCAATAAGATCTACTTGTCAGGGTCGGTCCCGGAGGATTGGAACAAGGTCCTCATGGTTGTGCTCCCTAAAGAGGTCCTTCCGAAACAGGCTTCCAGCCTCAGGCCGATTGCAATGGGCAGCGCTGCTGCCAAAATCTACTCGAGAATGCTGTTGGCCAGGACCCTCCCGCTGTTGACTTATAATGGTCCACAACAATGTGCTGGGGTTGGGCGACAAACTTCAGAATACCTGTACTGTGTTGCCAAGCTCATGGACCTTTGCAAGGAGTGGCGTATTCCGGCTGCCTTTGCCAAAATAGATGTTGCCAAAGCGTATGATACTGTTGACAGGTCGGTCTTGTTGTCGAAGCTGAAGGCTAGACTTGGTGACGGCCCACTTTATCGTGCATGGCATCTTCTGTTGGTTGACACATCGGCTTTACTCCAAACCCCATGGGGCGCTACGATGTTGACACTTGGTAAGGGAATAAAGCAGGGAGCAGTCGAATCTCCCAGCATTTTCGGGTGGCTCACGCTTCAATGTTTGCTGGAGGCAGCTGACAGATATCGCTGGGATTCGCTTGAGAACCCCTTCCCAGGCTTGCAATTGTCTGAGGTCATGTTTATGGATGACGGAGTGTCATGGGGTCTCACTGGCAAGGACATTGAAACAAGGCTTCGGCAGTGGTCTGTTGTTATGATGGAGTACGGGCTCAGCCTTAACCCCAAAAAATGCCAACTGTACTACACTCCCTACTCTGTGTCCCAGCAGCCCATCACTGTCAACGGCATCTCGCTACATCCGTCCTCACACTTGCAGGTCATGGGCTTGCCGTTCAAAGTTGGGGTGACTCCTGCTGAATTGCTGGCGCCTATTCTTGCGAGGGCTCGGGATAAGTACTGGTCGCTCCGACATCTCTTCCGTGCTCGCACTCCCCTCTATGGAAGGGTAAAGCTTCTTGACCGTGTGATTGGAGGAACCGCGCTTTGGTGTATTGCCGCGATCATGCCGGACCCTGCCAGCCTGGGACTCATCAACAGCTTCCAACTCCAGTTGATCTCGTGGTGTATGAAGACAGCTAAAGGGGTCCATGAGACATGGCCTGAATTCAGGGCCAGATCGTTCAGGGGAGCACGTCAGGTGGTGGCTAACTACTTGAAGCAGAGATGGTCAAGCCTATGGTTAGCAAGATGGTGGGGTTTCGCTGGCCATAGGGCTCGTGGATGCCTGCATGACACTCCCAATGCTTCAACACTCGTGGATGTGTACCGTACTCGTGAATGGTGGACCTCACAGCAACGGCTTCGCAATGGAATGCGACATAAAGGGTCACAAGGGGAAAAAGGGGTCTTCTTCGCAAAGTTGATGAATTTTGAGAGGGACATGGATGCACTGGCTAAAGGGCCTTGGAGGGTGGCAGCTCAAAATCGTCAGGAATGGAAGCAGCTCTGCACACTTTGGGTTACAAAGATGGACCTTCCGTGGTGCAGTGGTCGACAACCTGCTATTGAATGGTGAAGGGTTAGGGTTCGAGGGCAGACATGAATGACAAGGCTACTTGGAAAATGCCTGCAGCTTGAGGGCCCAATACGCTTGCCTTCGCTTCCCTTCTTGACGGTCTTGCCATGATGGTGTTGCTTGCCGTCCTCCTCTATGCCTACTTCCCTCAAGGGGTTGTGGCCCTCCATATGTGCCGAGACGGCGAGGTGGTCCCTCTGAACTACCTGTTCCATGTGAATTCAAGTTTTGCTCCAGCCGATCGCGGAGTATGTGCATGCGAGCAGCATTTTGCTGCGGACCAGTCCCAGGTGCCCACCGTTTGGGATGTCATTGCCCTGGTGCAGAAACCCTTGAAGAGGCCAGCAACAAAGGCTAAGGCAGCCAGACGACCTGCTGCCGCTGCACCGGGACCTACTTCCGGATCCACCTTGGGGACAGCGTCTTCTACGCCGGAGGCCTCCCCGACTACCCCGACGGCTGCAATGACATCGCACCCGGTTGTGCTGGGCATTGTGACTACCTCGGCGAACATGGAAGGGTGCCCCGTCCCTTGGAGAGATCGCGCCCTTGCTGATCTCCGTGAACTACGCGAACGAGGGCTTGGGAGTGGTGGACTACTTCGCCGGCTTCGTGAACTTGTCACAGCCCATGGGGATGATCAACTATGCCGAGGCTTCAGGGACTTCTATAGGAACTTGAGGACGATCACGGGTACGGAAGCCGGATATGGGCTATGTGAAGAAGAGCTCAGTTGGGCCCACTTTGTGGACCACCACCTGTGGGACGAGTGGATGAGCCTGGGTTTGGGCACGGGAAGCGCTGGCTCGGGTGACCCGATGGGGCCGCCTCGCCCTTTGCCAATAAGCGGAAACCAGCAAGGGGAGCTTCAGGACGGATCTGATGACGCACTGTCGCTTACACAGCTCAGCGTGAAAGTCCTCATGATCCCCGCTTGCCTGGCGGTGCCCCACAACACAGTGCTTGCAGAACCACCTCACTTCCTCCGGCTTGTACATCGGCGGCTGCGTGGCCTATGCGAACAAGGTCGGGACTTGAATGGGTTCATCATTGCGTTCAGGCACCTGTTTCAACTCAGAAGGGACAGATACTTCGTGGCCGATTGCGAACTGGTGCTCGATGACTTCCTCCGCTACCTCGACCGCCCTATGAGATGGGATATGCCCTTTGAAGATGTCGATGACGACCTCCGTGAGATGGCAGTTTGGATTGAATCTGAACTGTGGGTTGAAAGGATCGATGATGTGGAGGAGGCGACGGGATGGGAAAGTGAGACGGTGCTCAGCATGCGTGGTGAGCCCGTCATGCCTACAGATATACGCCAAGCATGGCGCAGAGGGGAAGAGCTAGGGTTCTTCGAAGCGTCGCCGCAGAGAGGAGACCCAGGTGGCGTCAAGTTCGAGTGCAAGTGCAGCGCCTACTAATACTGTCGGCCACTCGGTTGTCCTCAACACGCCGGGCCCCTTCGTTGACTCCATGCAGGCATACCTCATGTACCAGATCCCGGGTGACTTGTGGCGCAATGTGGCAATGTCGGTGGAGACTCTTGCAGGGAACCGCTGCGAGAGTCACTTCGCGCAGTTCTGCCACGAACAATGGGTGGAGCACACACGTCGCCTACACTCGCAATGCCACGTGCAGCTGGAAAGTGATCTGGAAATGGATGAGTTTGCGGTCTGGGTGGAAGCCGAGATGTGGGAGCTCTACCTGAATGCACTTCGGAATCGAGTGGGCTTCGACAGCAGAAGGTTCATTCTCGCCGCGGGCGAGCTTCAACTATCCCGCCGGACGAGAATGAGGTGGAGAATGAATGCACCACGTTCCAGACCAACACATGATTCGGATGTGGCAAGCCTGATGGAGGGCAGAGACTCCCGTGACACCCGGCGATCACCTCGGAGATCAGGCACAGGACGACATGAACCAGGGCGAGCACGACCGGATGACCGGCCCTCCAGACGTTCTGGGAACTCAAGAAGGGACCCCCCGGCTGGCGCCCCTACTGAGACGGCTGAGTGCTATGTTTCCCGAGTTGGGCGAGCCCGGAACCGCACGCCCCCTTGGAGAGGATATGACTGGAGAGAGCATCGAGGTGATGAAGGGGCAGGCCCAACAGCATCCTCACCTACAAGGGGGCCTAGTTGCTGTTCGTGTTGAACGTAAACCTCGGGATGATGATGAAGACTCGATATACATGCAGACAAGCATGCAAGTTGGCCCGAGGCAGCCGAGGTGTGACCCACTCACAGGAGCGGTCACGTTCATCAATGAGGGTCTGATGGCAATGGACGCAGAACTCCGCCTTCGCAGAGCATGTCAGTTGCGAGGCCAGTTGCAAAGGGCAGCCAGGTCGGCTATTGGCTGGCAGTGGAGATTGGTCTCTGCAGTCCTTACGGCCGCTGGTAGTCCTCCTGGATTCTACCTCCCCCTTGATGAGGAGGCTGCTTGGGTACGCGACTCTATGCGTATGTTGGCTGCATGTTCGGAGGTGTGGCCGACTACTACCTGCTTGTTGCCAGAAGAGCTGCCTGTGCTGACCGTGGAAGACAGTGAAGAGCCCCCAGCACAACCTGATGCTGAACTCCGTGAACGTGAGAAAGAGGAAGAGGAACAGAACAGGAGGGACCAACAACTGTGGGAGGCCCACCAGGCAGCAGTGTATAAGGACTGGGAAGACTGGGTTGTCCTGAATACTGTGACATCGGCGCCTCCTCGAATCAGGGTCAGGGTCTCTTCGACAGGAGCGGCCTCGAGCTCGGACTGTGTTGTCCTGCCCACTGGTCAACCCAACCTTCCGCTCACCTTGATCGTGACGGTCGATCGCCAGGACCCGGAGGTGACTAGTGAGTGCATGAAGCCGGCGCCAGTGGAATCCCAGAGTGAAGGTACTGAGGATACTGTGGCGGCCTATGTCCCAGGCTTGGATGTGGTGTACGGCCAGTGGAAAAGAGGCGAGATCTCGAATGAGCAGGTGACCAACGATCATGGGCTTGATTGGCTTGATCTGTTCATGGGGCAGAGGGATTTGGAGGATACCTTGAACTGCCCCGACCAGGAGCCGACATATGCAGCAGTTCCCGCCTCTCACATGGAGATCCCGGATGGACATCCTGCTGTATGTGATGTACATGAACCGGCAGGGGTGACGCCTGTGGAACCCGATCTGGATGTGTTGCCTGCACTCTTGGCCGTGACGAGTGTGCCCGAGACTGGTCCAGGCACGAGCGAAACCACATTGGATGAAACTGCAGAGAGACCCGGGGAACTACATTCGGAGTGGCCTAGTGGGTGTCGTGTCCAGCCTGGTTCATGCCTGTCTGCTGCTACGGAGGGCTCTGCTGAGGGTGAGCAATGTGAACCAGGGTGTGGCTCAGGGATGGATGTTCTACTCGAGGTACGTCCCCCAGGGCATCTTGCTGCTCTCGATCCGGGCCCTTTCGTTGCTGCAGGGGATCCTTCTGGGGAAGAACTTCTTGAATCAGGATTCGGCTCTGAGATGGTGACAGGGACCCCTTCTTCGGTGGCCTTCGCTTCGGTTAGTGCTGGAAGTGCGACGGTGATCCTGGAGGATTCTGGATCGGTCTTCGAAGGGTCCCAGGGTGAACAGGGAGAGAAGGGGGTCAAACGAAAGATGGAAGAATGAAGGTGATGTACGTCTGATCGGCTGTGAGTGCTTTTGTCGAACAACAAAGTCTCGACATCGTTTGCTCGCCTAAACAGGCTTTTGGTACACTTCGTGCGGACCCAAAAAGGAGCCCTTAAAATAAAAAAAAAAAACTTAAGCCTTAAATCCTAAACCCCAAAATCTCAACGACGACTAAGCCTACTATACTCTCAAGGCTGTCAGACTTCGAGAGCGACCGGACAGAGGAGCAGCGTCCGCTGGTCTATGTGCCAGCCTACTGAGCTGCAAAGCAAGGTTTAGGGGTGTTCGGTCTAGGCCCTTCGGGTGTAGGGTTTACTTTGTCAGGATTTATATACACCAGTTGGGTTCAAGTGTTACAAAGTTGGGAACCCTAAACCCCTAAACGAAAGAAACGTTAAAGGGGCCGGGGTTCAGGAAGCGGGGGACCGGTGTCGAGGGCTCTTAAGATAATGCACGGACGGGCTGAGCCTTGCGGCTAGGGTTTAGGGTTTAGGGGTCTAAGCCCGATCCTTTTCAAAACCCTGCGAGAACAGCTGCTCATGGAGGAGGACAAGGAGTAGGAGTACGCGGAGCAGGGGGAGAAGCTTAGTATAGCGGCTTTACTCATTACCTATATTTTGGGGGTTCCTTTTCATACATACCCCAAAACCCTATTCTAATTATCAAGGCTCCTAATACTAACACAAACCGGGGAACTCTACCCAGGATGGGTGTAGGTGTTCTCGGAGCCAAATCGGACTCCCACGGAATGGGTTTCCGGTTCAAGCTTACAACACATGCTAGAGAACCATGAGTAGAGTATCGTTTATGTTCGAACATACCCTACTTAAAGGCTCATAGGACTTAGTTAGTAGGGTTATAAGTAGATTATAGTTAGGATGACCACTTAGGGGACTTATAACTCCAATTATAACCTGCTTACTAAGTCCCGTGATCCTCTAAGTATGATGCTTTGGGGGACGTGGTCAATACGCGAGTTTCTCGTTGCCATGGCCGAAACTTTATCCATCATCTGGCTAAGGCCGAAGGGCACTAAATCCTCAGAAGCTCCAACATCTTACAGAACCCTCTTCGGACCCTATAGTGCCCCCCTCTGGAAGCCTCAAGCGCCCTTATCGAAATCTTACAAAAACCCTTACAAAATCTGAAAGACCACTATAGAGCATCGGTAAGGAAGCGCCCCATGGCGAAAAAACAGAAAGCAGACCTACAAAAGCCTCGTGAACAAAACCTCTAACAACCCACCCTTTGAGGAACCCTGTTATGCAGGCCACAATACTACACCTTTGTAGAACCAAAAAGACACCCTGGAAGGACCTAAACCCCAAACAACCCTAAACCCCAAACAACCCTAAACTCCAAACCCCAAACCATAAACCCCAAACCCTGAACCCCAAACCCTAAACCCTAAGCCCCAAACCCTAAACCCCAAACCCTAAGCCCCAAACCCCAAACCCTAAGCCCCAAACCCTAAGCCCCAAACCCTAAACCCGCGTTGTAGCCAAGGCGCCTCGCAGCGAAGCCTTGGACCGCAAGAAGCTGCACCCAAAGGGCCGCCGGTGGATCATCAGCCTTTAACCTTACCTGGACCCTAAGGAACCTACCTTTTTTAGGGTTCCCTAATATGATTTTTTTTATATCAGCCTTTAACCAGCCTTGTCCTTTTTCATGGTTCCCCGAAAAGCATAAACAGACCGGCTAGTAGACCTTCTTAAAGAATTCCTACTAAGGGATATAGGTACAGGGCTCTGTCCATTATTCTAAAAGGGCAAGGGTGCCTTTAAATGTCCTAGGGGTTCCTTAAGGGGGTTCCTTAAGGGGGTTCCTTTAAGGGTCTAGTTTAGGATTCATTTAAGGGTTTGGTTTAGGGTTCCTTTAAAGCTCCTAGGGGTTCCTTTAGCGGTTCCTTTAAGGGTTTAGTTTAGGATTCCTTTAAGTGTTTAGTTTAGGGTTCCGTTAAGGCCTTCTTTACAGGTCTTGGGGTTCCTTCAAGCGGTTGCTCTTAGGGTTTAGTTTTTGGGTCAGGGTTCCTTAAGGGTGCGACGCGGGGTACTGTAGGTGTGCTAGAAGGTTCCTTTTGTCCTACAAGGGTTTAGGGTTGAGGGTTCAGTTGAGGGTTTCGGCCTTTGAACTTTGGGTTTAGAGTTTAGTTTCGGGTTTAGGGTTCAGGTTTTTTTGAATGGGTACTACCTATAAAAGGGTCATATAAGGGTTAGGCGAGGGCTTCTCGGGTGTAGGTTTAGCCTTTAGGATTAAAAAAAAAGCCGGCGCACCTCGACCTGGTATGTGAGGATTTCGAGGGTGCCATACTGCCATACGGGTTCTTAGCATGATTTGGGGTTGAGATTCAGATTCGGGGGTCCTAGAGACTCCAATATCCCTTAGTTAAGGGATATTCCTTAAATCATATCAGGGATCCACTATAATTTAAGGTATATTCCTTAGTTAAGGGATATTGGCGTCTCTGGAGTTCAGGGGTTTAGGGTGACTGGGTTGGGGTTTTTGTGATAATTTTGTGACAGCTCCCCGCAAAACAGGATTTTTCGGGGTGCACGATTTTCTGATACAAGTCCTTGAAAAGGTCGGTATTTTGGGGTTCAGGTATTTAGAGGATCATAGGACGAAGTAGGTAGGTTATAATTGGGGAAATAAGTCCCCTGAGTGGGGGTTATCCTAAATATAAGCTACTGATAAGCTTACTTACTAAGTCCCATGAGCCTTTAAGTAACTAAGTAAGTAGACCCTCGACCCCAAACCCTTAAAGGGAGGAACCCTAGCACAGAACCCTACGGTACCCGTAAAAGGAACCCTAAACCCTACTTACTAAATCCCATGAGCCTTTAAGCAAGCATCCTAAACTTAAGTAGTAGAACCCTACAGATCCCTCGTAGGAACCCTTACAGTAGAAGCCAGAAAGTTGGAACATTCTTATCCTCATTCCCTTAAGGTAAAGTAGAGGAAATCCCAGCACTAATCGTCCTAAGTCCATCTTCCAACTTCCTGAGGCTTCACTATAAAGGAACCCTTAAAGGAACCCTACAGATCCCAAGAAAGGAACCCTTAAAGGAACCCTACAGATCCCTTTAAAGGAACCCTTAAAGGAACCCTACGGATCCCTTTAAAGGAACCCTTAAAGGAACCCTACGGATCCCTTTAAAGGAACCCTAAACCCTAAACCCTAATCGTCCTAAGTCCATGTTCCCGTGATCGCCCATCGGGGCCTAGCCGATCTGCTCGGAGAGCGGTTGGTTCTGGCAAGTCAGCGAGCCCAGTTGCAATCAGGGGTCACTTAAGGTTTAGGGTTTAGGGTTTAGGGGTTTAGGGTTTAGGGGTTTAGGGTTTAGGGTTTAGGGGTTTAGGGTTTAGGGTTCATGGAACTTAGTAGCTAACTGATAAGTAAGGTTATGCTTCGGACAACCCCACTTTGGGGATCTACAACTTGATTTCTATAACCTACTGACCGAAGTCCCTTGAGCCCTGAAGCATGATTGCATTCGAGCTCAATTTACGTCCTACTGCTATGGAATCATATGCGGTTCTCAAGGGTATCACGGTTGTGTGACCGTGTAGGGTAGTCTCAGTATCAACAGATGATCATAATGGCATGCTGCGTTCTTAAGAGTATAAAACCACATGTGGCTGTCAGCACGTGATACAAAGAGAGTACACAGAGACTCCAATATCCCTTAATTAAGGAATATACCGTAAATTATAGTAGGATCCCTAATATGATTTAAGGAATATTCCTTAATGAAGGGATATTGGACTCTCTGGGTATGTTCTTCCAGTTGCTCCGCCCAAGCACGCCATGGTAGGAGATTACTGCAGATACACTTCTTTTAGGGACCTAAAAAGCACATCATAAGCATTCTACGGGGATATCCCTACCTTATTGGGCTTCCTTGTCAGGAGGTGTATATGGGATATCCCTATCCTTATTCTTGCTTATGTGATTTTTTGGGCATATTGTTGGTCCATTGTGCAATGTGCCATTTGAAGCTATCGTTTGTTACAGTCGCAATAAACAGGATGTTTGGAATGCTTCTGATGTGTGTCAGTATTTTACGTTGTTCCATGAAAAGGTATAGTTTGGCATGCCGTAGTAGGTTGAACAAGTTCTAGCAATGGAATCACTACAAGTAGAACCCAAACCGTTGCGTTTACGTATGTGACGCTCCTGGCATGTTGTCGTCTACTACTGTGTCTGAAACAGCTGTTAAATAGCTACACACCTGCAGGGAACCCAGAATTTGCAGCATTGCAAGCTGGAGAGCTGAGTTCACCGTCTGGTTCACCGCTGGAGGGATCATGAGACTTAGTAAGCAGGTTATTTTTGGAGTTATAAGTCCCCTAACTGGGGGTCATCCTAATTATAACCTACTTATAACCTTACTAAGTCCCCTGATCCTGTAAGTGCTGGAAGCATTGCCTTCCAGAGGGGGAGCTCTTCCTAGCTTGGGCCCCTTTTTCGGGCGCGAAAAGGTGGTCCCAGCTGGCTGCCTTGCGAGGTGTTTAATACGAGTGTAAAGGTGTGAATAAGTAGTGCTGGCATTCTCTTACAGTCCCATATATCTTAATAACTCTATACATCACCAGCAGGAAACCTATTCCAATCATCATTAAAGCGCTTATGGTATTCGGCTACAGACCAAGGGCGGCTGTTCAACATCTTGGCATCGGCCCTAAACCCTAAACCCTAACCCCTAAACCCTAAACACCCCGGAAGCCCTACACCCTAAACCTGTGAACCCCGAACTTACAGCAACCGCTGAAGGAAGCCTTACGGGAATCTTAAGCCACCTTCAGAAGAGTTCCTTTGCATTCGGCCAGTCGCAAGAAGTCCTGAGAGGGCCGTTTTCCAGAGGAGGATTTCTAGGAGGGGGGGGGGGGGTACTTAAAGGCTCATTCGACTTAGTAAGTAAGGTTATCAGTAGGCTATAACTAGGATATCCCCAGTTCGTGGACTTATAACCCCAATTATAACCTACCTACTAAGT